CACCCTCTGCTGCTGCTGCTGCTGCTGGGTCAGCCCCGTGCGCAGTCGGCGCTCCAGCAGCACCTGCAGCTGACTCCGCAGCAGGCGCAGCAACGGGAGCAACCCTGCGAGTGCTTCGGGAGGAGGCAGCAGCAGCAGCAGCAGCAGCAGTATCAACCCCCCACCTGCTGTCATTTGAGGGTGGCTGCCTGCGTGCTGCTGATGCTGTTAGGCTCTGCGGCCAGGCCCAGGGTCCCTCCTCAGCGCGCTTCATTCCAAAGTTCCGGGGCAATCCGCGCTGCTGCACGCCGTCGGGCGCAGCAGCAGCAGCAGCAGCAGCGGAAGCAGCAGCAGCAGCAGGGAATAGACAGTACCAGGCATGGCTTGAGGGGGCCTACTTGCCTGAATATGATGCTAACGATGAATACACTGAAGACACAGATCCAGGCTACACCCCAGTAGATATGACACAGGCGGAATTCCTTGCAGCTTTCTGTGGGGCACCGCTGGGGGGCCCCTCGTGGGGGGCCCCCCACTCAGAGGGTATGCATCCTTTGTTCGCACTTGGGGTGGAGCCTGCAGTGGATGTTGTGGGGGCCAGACTGGAGATGGCTGCTGCAGCAGCGGCAGCAGCAGCTTCTGCTGCTGCTGCTGAACAGAGTCAACTACCGCAGCAACAGCAACAGCCGCAGCAGGAGGTGCGGCAGGAGCAGCCAACGCTGAGTCCATCTTCAGTAACTCGCGCTGCTAGTCTTTCTCCTGCAGCTACTGCTGCAGCAAACAAACATAGCTTGTTCAGGCTCGGGGATGAAGCTAGCTGCGGCAGCAGCAGCAGCGGTCGCGGCAGCAGAGCCACAAGCCGTCCCTCGTCACCGGCATTCGGGGGCCCCCCTACTTTCGGAGCGCTGTCTGCAGATTCAGCAGCGGAAAAGTCAGACATTGTGAAGCAGCACGAGCAGCCGCGGACGAAGCCCACAGAGCAGCTCCAGCTGCAGGAAGAGCAGCAGCAGCAGCAGCAGCAGGCTTCAGCAGACTACGGAAGGATTTTCGGCCTAGGAGACGTCGTGGACGCCCAGCGGAGCAGCTGCAGCAGCCAGCCTGCAACAAAAGCAGCAGCTGCAACAGCACCAGAAGCAGCAAAATCCCCAGAAGAGTGTCCTGCGGTGTCGTCTGAGGATGAGCTGGCTGGCTGCGGCATGCAGGAGCAGAGTGCGGCTGCAGCAGAGGCAGGGAAGCTCGCAGACGTTCAGCAGCAGCAGGAGCAGCTTGAGCGGCAGCAGCAGGAGGCCTACATCGCAGCGAGGACGTGGGAGGAAACGTACTGCGACGGAGACAAACAGCGGTTCCAGCAGCGGCAGCAGGCTCGTGCTGCAGCAGCACTCTCTCTTGCCTGCTATCCTCCTTCCCCAGACCCTGCATATCCCAGGCAGTGCCGCGTGAGGTGCCTTCGCAGAGGCTTGGGGGCCCCTCCGGGGGGTTCTGCTGCAGACGAGTCGGTGGTATATGATTGCTTCAGCCTGAAAGTTATTTTCAAAAGAAACAGCACGGGAGCCGATCCCCACAAGGAAATGGTCCTGCCCTCGGGGGCCCTTCTAGCTGGCAGATACAGGGTGCAGCATGAGGTACGGCCGCTGCAGCCTTGGCTTCTGCTGGAGTTCTCGCTGCTTGTATTGCTGCTGTTGTTGCTGCTGCTGTTATGGCTGCTCCCGCTGGTGCGGCTGCTTTAAATATTGAAAGCTGTTGCTGCTTTTTAGCTGTGTGAAGCTCCTAAACTTCAGGGGTTTTTCTGGGCTTATAGATCCGGCTGTGGCGCTGTTTCTTGCAGGTGGGAGCGGCCGCGTTCTCGCGCTGTCTTCAGGGCATAGACGAATGTACGGGGCAACGAGTTTGCCTTAAGGTGAGAAGCAGCAACTGCCTTTTTTGCCTTTACTTTGATTCAGATCTGCTGCTGCTGCAGCAGCAGCAGGCAGCCTCTTGCAGCTGCAGAACGCCTACGCTGTATCGGCAACAGCGCCAACAGCAGCAGCGGCCACGGAGAGGTCATCAGCTGTTGCGAGCTGGTGCTGCCTACATTTTGCTCCTTCCAGCCTACCCGGTGCAGCCGCTGTATCCAGAACCCCTGCACTTGCTGTTGGGGCCCCTGCCGTCAGCCCTGCTGCCTCTGCTGCTGTTGCTCGCTTCAGGTGATGAAGAACGAAAAGGAGTTTCTGGATCAGTCGCTTGACGAGGCGTCTGTCTTGCGCTTGCTTCTGGCTAATGGGGACCCTGACGAGTACCGTTTCCTGCGGCTTCTGGACTACATGTACGTGAGCGGCCACGTAGTGTTGGTGACGGAGTTGCTAGATGAGGATCTGTACACCTTCAGCACGGTCTTGAAAAGGCACAGGGAGCCGTCCTTTTGGTCCTTGGGCCGCATCCAAATTGCCGCGAGAGATGTGCTTCTGGCCCTCAAGTTCATACACCAGCTGCACATCATACACGGAGACCTCAAGCCGGAGAATATCCTGGCAGTATTCACAGGGCCGCTGGCGAAGGCGCAGAAGCGCAAGCAGCAGCTCCAAAGACAGCCACAGCCGCAAGCAACAATGACCAACGCGCACAGCAATAGCGGCAGCGGCAGCGGTGGCAGCAGCGGATTTGAGTCCGACCTGTTGGACCTCTTTAGGGTAAAGGTGATAGACTTCGGCAATTGCTGTTTCACCAGTGATGAGCTCGTTGTGTACACGCAGTCGCGCTCCTACCGTGCTCCCGAGGTGCTTTTGGAGTTGCCTTACTGTCAGCAAATAGACATATGGAGTCTGGGGTGCATAGTGTACGAACTCTGGACTGGAGACATGCTGCTGGGCTGCTACACTGTCCCTTCTCTGCTGGCCAAGATGGTGGGCCTCTTGGGGCCCCTCCCCAGCTACATGGCCCGCAGCAGCCCCGTGAAGCACCAACTGTTGGACCCTGAGGGTTTCCTGTACTCCTTCATAGATCACATTTCAAATGCGCAAGAATTTAAGCAGCAGAGCAACAACATGCAGCAGCAACCCTCCGTCAGCCTGGACATGAGGCCCCCAGAAGACACGCTGCTGAACCTTGTGCAGGACCACCTGCGATCCAGGCAAGGCGGCAGCCCAAGGCATCCCAGCAGCACCAGCGGCAGCGGCAGCAGCAACAACAGCCGCGTCATTCGTTTCTTCATTCCCAAACGCACCAGCCTCCGCCAGCGCCTGCGCTGCAGCGATGACCTGTTTGTCGACTTCGTCTCAAAAATGCTCCAGATTGATCCTTGCAAAAGATGGACAGCAGCACAGCTGCTCGAGCATCCTTTCCTTACCCCAGGGAGATATATAGATGGCATTAAGGCCCCCTGAACTAGCAAACTTAGCAGGGGGCCTGCGCAGGCGCCAGCTCTGAGCATTTGCAGCATGCATTCACACATTAGCGCGGTCGGGGGCAACGGATGCCCCCAGTGAGCGTCTTCGGTGCCTCCAGAAATCTGTCCTGAGAGCCTTTAAGACTGACTGAGACGCCCACAGGGACGTGCCTTAAGTTTCTTCTCTATTTATGAAGAGGGTAGCATAATGACCATGTCATTGGTCCCGCGACCAGCTAATATGAGGTCCTACAGAAGGGCCCATAGTAGCCCTTATACAAGGCTCACCGTATGCGAAGACCTTATTGACCTGCGTGAGAACTATCTTGGTGGTTCGTACTATTACTCCTGAGGCCCCCAAAGGGTACGTACACTGGTTCAGGGGTAAGCTCCCCTCTACACATGCAATCCCACCGAAGTTTGGGTTCTCTTAAAGGCGCCTCGCACTCAAACATCAGAGGTCGCCTCTAGGGCGTTACAGAGCTTGACGCGGAGGCCCCGCCCTCTTACATCAGGTTTGGGCTTCTCTTTGTTCTTCGTAAAATAAGCCTTCTACCTGTGTTCCCCTGTGGCACATATTAAGAACGCACAGTCTGCTGCCGCTGCCTGCGTAGGCTGCTGCTGCAGTGAGGCGGCCAAAGACAGACCGGTAGGGCGAGCTGGAACCTACCTGGCAGTGACGGGGCCACCAGCAGCAGCAGCCATAGCAGCAATTGCTGGGTCACCGTTTCGACTTCCTCCTGTTTGCCGTAGCATAAAAGTTACTCCTTCGTCACAAGGCTGTGTTCAGGCGTTTGTGCACGATCTACTAGTTGGCAGCATCGTGTGCATTAGCGGCTGAGCGTACCAGAAAATCGTACCAGGAAGTAGCGGTGGGAAGCAGCAGCAGCAACAAGCAAGGAGCCACCGAGGCGTTCACGCTAGACCCAAGCACTCCCGTGCAAAGCCTACTTATGTACACTTTGGGGGTCCAGCCCAAAACAGTGGCGGAAGTTCCGCTGCAACAGTACCAGCAGCAGGTGACCAACCCTCCTGCAGCAGCTTCACGCAGTAGCCCCAGTGAGCTGAGGCGCTCCCAGCAGCTGCAAGTAGGCAGCTGGCGGCTCTGAAGTAATGAGTTAGAGTTGGTCAGGGAGAATGCAGCAGCAACAGCCGACCAGCAAAGCAACCGCAGCGGGAGCTGCGGCGGCAGCAGCATCGGCGTGTTGAACAGCCAACTAAAGCGCAGGTTCACAATCTGCAGCAGCTTGCTGCAGCAGGAACCCCTTGTTCCTCATGTCTCAGGTGTGCAGCAAAGAAAAATACGTGTATTTCGCTACCTTGCGTGTTGGCTATTGTAAAGCCGTGGACCTCAAACGCTACGTTGGAAAAACTTCGATGTCTTCTAGTTTTCACTTTGGCTGGAGGGCTACGGGCCAGCAGAGCAACGAAAAAGCAGTGAAGTGAAAACAGTGAATGCAGTTGCCTGCAAGTCTCTGCAGCAGCAGCAGCTGCTGCGGCTGCCGCAACAGCGGCCGTTCACGCCCCTCCAAAAACCGTCCCTGTGGCCTCCCAGAGAAGCCCCTCGGGGGTTCCTGTACCATCATGAATGCATGCAGCTATGCACGCATGCGCCTGCGCATGCTTCAATGCCCGCAGCTTGAAGTTTCCATGAAAGCAACTAAAACATGACGGTGAAGAACATGGTGAGGAAAGTGTAGCTGATGTAGCACTGCAGAAAGAAGTAAAGGACCTCAAAGGCGAGCACGAACGAAAAGAGGAAAGAAAACAAACTGGAGCTCATCGTCGCCAAGACCATCTTCATCACCTCACCAAACACGCTAAACGCCAGCAAAGGGCGCACAGCCTACACACGCAAACAAGCAGATCCCCTGGGTCTTAAACCCCCAAACCTCCCCTTGGGCAAAAGTGCCTAGCCTCGCTGAACTCTTGTGCCCCCACATAAGCCTCTGCATGCAGAAGCCTCTGCCCTATTTCTGCAGCGACTGAAGGCCTGTGGCGCGGACTCTGGGGACTGGCTGCCTCGGCCTGAGCCCTCACCTGGAAAGTGGTGCGGGCCATGAATATGAAGTAAAATCGGAAAGACAAAAGATACTGGATGGCAAAATTGACCATTTTCAAAGGCGCCAGAAACTCTATAGCAAACACAGATGGAAACAGACCCGGACGTGTGCGCCTCGGCGGAGCAGCAAGTGAGAGAACAGGCTCTCCTCCGCTGTGGCCGGGCAGTCCCCCTTGGAGTCCCCGAGGCCCCTGGGGGGCCCCCTCAAGGGGGAGACCCGGAGAGCCTCCCAAGGGGACCCGGGAGCTGCTGCTGAAGCATGCTGCTGCGGCTGCCCTGGAAGGCACCAACGAGCAGGCCGCAGGGCCCTGTATGAAACGCAAATGAACTTCAAAGGTGAAAAGTAACTGAACTGATCAGGAGGGGAGTATATGGATGCATTTACAGACTGCCCATCCACAAACGGTGAAAAGAGGCTGAAATGGGAACGGCGGCGGCACATGCAACAAAGAAAGCATAAGAAGAGAAAGAAGAGAGGCACAGACAAAAGTGAAGATAAGTGGAATAAAGGCAGGCAAACAAAGCGGGGGCAGGCAGGGGCTTGCGGCGACAAAGACCTGGCACGAAGACACACACACTGATAGAAAAGCAGAAACCAAGGGAGCAGGAGCAGCGCAAATGAGACAACAGCAGCAACGCACCTTTGAAAGGAAACGAGTCCTTGATAGGCTGAGGTCCACTGCTGACCTGAGCACATCCCCACTTAACAAGCCCCAAAGATGAAACCAAGCAGCACGGATAAACTGCAGCGCATGCAGCCGTCTGTACACTACAAAAGCAGCAGAAAATTGCACCCATATTTGCGCGGACATGTAGACCTGTGGCTGATGGCAAACACGTGTACAGCCTTGACAGGGAGGAGCAGGCAAGAAAGAAACAATGTGGCTTCTCGGGGGCTGACTGACCACCTCAAGAGGCTCCTCCCTGCACAGCTGCAGAAGGCCCGCGAGGCCCCAGCAAACGCCATCTTCGGTGCTCTTTTCAAAGAGACGCTTTTTCGCTGCCCGCAGCTGCGGCAGCAACGGTAGCAGCAGCGGGAATGAGCCTCTCCTGGGACCGGTCTGGCTTCACAGGTCACAGACTCGCAGCCCCACTGACGAGATATATCGGTACAGGCAAGACAAAAATGCCGAAAGGAGCGTCTCTTCGCCTGGTTAGCCGCAAGTATTCTCCCCAGGGGCAAATGTGGGCTGCAGGCGGCGCCGCCGTAGCAAAGAAGAGGGATTTAAGTGAAATAAGAAAAAATCCACCTTCTGCTCCTTTATTTAATTTGCAATTAAACAGAAGACGTGGTTGTATTTGCCGTTCTGCTCAGAGAGAAGCCAACCAACTCCAGACTTTGATGCATGCAGTGGCTGGACAGAGGCCGCAGAGCTTGGCATAATGGACTACTGTCCGTTCCACTCTCAGAAGATGCAGAAGCTGAAATTTTTAAAGGACAACTGTTTTATATTTGTATTTTTCAAAGGCAAGAATGCATGGGAAGTAATCGATGCACTTCAAAAACATGTACGACGAGGGTATCGATCCCTCTACCTCTCGCATGCTAAGCGAGCGCTCTACCATTTGAGCTAGACGCCCGCGCTAGTACCCCCTTCTTGCTAGCCACAGTGCGATTACTACAACAACAATTTTCATATATACGCTCAGAAGAAAAGAAACCAGCTTTAAACGGTAGAAAACCTGTAGAATTTACAGTAATTCACATTTACAATGGAGAATGAAGGCCTCGGGAGGAGTGTTGGCGTGTTCCATATTTAGGGTTGGTCACTTGGTAGTGCTTTGGCTTGGAAGACTCAGAACACACACATAGAGTTGCGGGCAATTATGCCCATACACAGTTCCCTAAGACAGTGAGACGGGCTACTTGTTTTCACCAGTAGAATTGCTCGCATGTGCGCATACTCGAATAGATTATGCAAGGCAGTTTGTCTTGCCGCATTTATATATAAAAACAAACGATTTGGGTATCGTGTTTTGCCCATATGCTGGATCGCCGGCTAAGCAGTGGAGAGGTAGAGGCGCTGGTGGCATCGTTTTCAGGTAATGAATCCACACCATCGTCGCTACACAAAGTGCGCTCGATGCACTTGTAGGAGAGCCGCAGTCTCTTGCGGGAATTGAGTGGCAGCAGCGCTAGCAAAAGAAAGACAAATTATAGAAGCAATGACGACAAGGTAAGTGCCCGAAGGAAGCGATGAGGCTGCATCAGCAGCGCAGGGGGTTGCTCACAATGCAGCAACTGTTATATCTGTTCTATGATTCCTCTGCAAACAGTTTTGCGCAAAAGTTAAGCACAACGGGAGTGGACGACGAGGGTATCGATCCCTCTACCTCTCGCATGCTAAGCGAGCGCTCTACCATTTGAGCTAGACGCCCTTCGGCGGCTTATTATTTTTCGATACCATATACTCGCTGATTCATACATTTGCAGAAGGGCTTGGCAGCAGGGCGTTGAACGCATACTAGATGAAGTAACACAGATATTTCACTCTACAGAAAACAAAAAGTGTCCAGAGATACCCGCTATGAATGAATTCACTGCAAATGGAAATGGCAAAAGCAGAAGAAAACAGAGAAGCACGGTATTGTGACAGCTACACTGCACGCAGGGGCCGGACGGGAAGACATCATGTCTGGCCCCTGCATGCAGTGTAGCTATTAGCCATGCTTAAAACGGCCTACAGCGTACGACCCAAGGTTGGATGCTGGTGCGTCGGTTTTCACGAAAACTACTGGCGGGAAGAGTTCCCCGAAAGGGCATTGCTGCAGTGACCACCCTTTGTAAAAGTTGGCGGGGAGGCTCAAAAGGAAGTAAAGCAGGCATAAGTAGATATCTCTACATGCATACGTTTGACGAACAATAGCTGCGCAGCTAAAAGACAATAAGCGACAAACGCTGTGGTATGGCGCTGTGACTCAGCAAGCTCAAAACACTACTGCGTAAAGAGCGTAGGTGGCAGAGAAAGCTAGGCCGTGGATACAGGCAGAAACGAAAAAGTTCGACGGGCATCTTAAGACGCTTTCGGCCGTCATATATGCATATGAATCTGCCAGCAGTAAAATAGGCGTACGTGCAGTTCAGCAAGTAGATTCGCGTCTATATGAACAACACCAACAAGGTGAGTATACGCGAAAAAGTCCTGATATTTAGACTGATCGAAGTAGCTACATCATGGGGTAATAAAAAAGTATATGAATCATTGATGTGCAATTGCGTGTTTATCTGTGTGAGGAGTGACCTTGTCGGGGGCGTCTAGCTCAAATGGTAGAGCGCTCGCTTAGCATGCGAGAGGTAGAGGGATCGATACCCTCGTCGTCCACTTCACAATTCCAGCTGTCCTTGTTTCCACGGCACACTGAATACGCTTCGTAAGCCTTTGTATGTGTTAGCCGTGGCGGCTGCCAAGGCAGCATTTTGCGCGCTAGAGTTTTTGGGAAGAGTGACCTTGTCGAGGGCGTCTAGCTCAAATGGTAGAGCGCTCGCTTAGCATGCGAGAGGTAGAGGGATCGATACCCTCGTCGTCCACTTTACATTTCCAGTCATCCTTGTTTTCACAGCACACTGAATACGCTTCGTGGGCCTTCGTACGCGGTAGCCGTGGCGGCTGCCAAGACAGCATTTTGCGCGCTAGAGTTTTTGGGAAGAGTGACCTTGTCGAGGGCGTCTAGCTCAA